TTTCTAGATCCATCTCACACTGTGCCCCTCCCTCAACATGCCACCACCACCATTCCTACTTAAACCCAGAAAATCCCTTACCACAACGCACCTCCCTAATCTCGAGTGTGGGCATGTGCGGCAGAAAATCATTCCCCATGAAGAAGCACATCAAGACAAAGTCGTCCAGCACTCTCTCACAACATGCCAACACCGTTCACAATCACACCAACACCAATTAGAGAGAGACCACCACACCGCCTACCACAACGCACCTCCCTAATCTCGAGTGTGGGCATGTGCGGCAGAAAGTCATTCCCCACAAAGAAGCACATGAAGACAAAGTCGTCTAGTACCCTCTCCAGATCCATCTCCACCCCTGGGATGCGGAACTCCAGCTCCAGGTACTCTCGCAGCACCCAGCACTGCAGCAACTGGTGGTGGGGGACGAAGGGGCAGTAGAAGGGGACACAGAGAGCAGCAGATGTGACAAGCCGGCAAGACCCTCTGAAACCTCTCACTCTCTCTAGATCCATCTCCACCCCTGGGATGCGGAACTCCAGCTCCAGGTACTCTCGCAGAACCCAGCACTGCAGCAACTGGTGGTAGGAGAGGAGGCAATGGAGCAGTGAAAGGAAAGAATATAGGACATTTAGAATCAGAAACAGGCAGGACTTCTGAGCCCTCTCTCTCCCTTCCCTACACATCCATCTCTACGCCCATACTATCCCTTGTCCTTGAGACGTCTCAAAAGTCAGATCCATCTCTACGCCCATACTATCCTTCTCACCATGCACGCCCCTCTTGCGCTTAAGCTTGCCCTCACACTCCCTGCCTGCATGCACACCCAGTCCTCCCCCTTCTCTCACCTGAAACGGCTTCTTGGCTACACCCCCCTCCTCGTCGTTCTCGCCCCTCTTGCGCTTCGGCTTGCCTTCACACTCCGCTGCCAAGTGCCCCGTCTGCCCGCACAGGAAACATTTGTCCACCTGCCCGGGCTGAAACACCACCTGCTTGGCAACCAATGGCATGTGAGGGTGAGAAACGAAAAGTAATCAAGGGATGAGGAGGGGATTAGGAGCAAGAGAGAGGCAGGCAGACGGCGATACAATCGCCGATGAGGGGATTAAGAACCAAGGGACGAGGGAAAGGACAAATGGGGTAAGAGAAGACAGTGGAGGAGGGTGGAGAGTTGAAGACCGTGAAACGAACAAAAGCGTGAGGAGAATCGAATCGAGGGTGGCAGATACTTCTGAACTGAACGGCTGGCGAACACAGATGGAGACATGAGATGCATGATGAGCAGATTCGTGGGGTTTGAAGGGATGAGTGAGCGCACACAGACAGTAACTTGAGTGCGAGCACGAGAACACCTACCTCTCTGAGAATGGTGAAGTGCACTTCGTGTGTTGCCAGGGCGAGCATGATCAGATCCGCATCCTGAAAGAGGAAGGTGGGAGGAGGGGGGTATTGGGAAAGGTGGGCACGGAGAGCAAGAGGGCATGTTAATAATGCACTTCGTGTGTTGCGAGAGCCAGCATGATCAGATTCACGTCCTGCAGGAAATAAGGGAAAACAGGAATAAGGGGAGATGTAGGAAGGTGGGAGGGAGGTAGGGGTATGGGGAAAGCTGCGGGGGGGGAAATAGCAAGAGAGCATGGTGGGAAGTGCATATTGTGTGTTGCGCGAGGGCCAGCAAGGTCAGATCCGCGAAATGCAGAGCGTGAGGGACGGTGGTAGGCAGGGAGGTATGTGCGGGGGGGTGTGGGAAAACGGAGCAGGAAAAGGGGGAATCTGTGTTCTCAACCATGAAATAAACAGGTAAGGTTTCGAGTGCCGATTTAAGGGATAGCCATCAGAAGCTATGTCGCACATATGTGATGTGACAGTCTGTAAATGCTGCGTCCATACCAGTCCGTAGATGCAGTGGCGTGTGTTGGGGTCAAAGCCTGGAAGGTTCCGCTGCAGGCGAATGTAGTTCATGATCTTGTGCTCTCCCTCGCCTGGCACATTGGCGTCTGACAGAATCACCTGGTGTGGTGATGGTGATGTTGCGGAACCAAGGATGGGCAAGATAAAAGGTGTGTGTTCTAAGGTCTAATCGATCCCTTTTCTTCTCTGATCTCGAATCACCCCTCCCTCTCCCTCCTCACTCAAACCCCTTAAACCCGAACCCTGATCCACAATCCTCACTCACTCAGCCTCACTTTCACGTTCTTCTATGCAGGGTCCTGGTCGATCCTGAGGTGGATGTAGTACTGCTGCATGAACGGCGGGCCTACCCTCTCCCCTCCCTCTCTCTCCTCACTAGCAACCCTTAAACCCTGGCCCAACCCCTGAACCTCGCTTTCACATTCATCCAGGCGAGGTCCCGGTTGAAGGGTGACGGACAGCTGCTGCATGAAGGGTGTGCTTACCCTCTCCCTCTCCCCCCTCACCTCCCTTGAACCAAAGCCCCAGAACCTGCCAAATCCACACCTTGACGTTCTTCCAGGCGGGGTCCTGGTTGATCCTGAGGTGAATGTAGTACTGCAGAGCGACGGAAAGCTGCTGCATGAAGGGCGTGCCGGGCGTGATGACGTTGGAGTCGTGAGTCTCTGACTTCTCCTTGGGCGGCACCATGCGCCCCTCCAGCTCAAACTCCTTTCTGAGTCTCTCCTCCTCCGCTGCCTGTGTGGGGGGGAATGAGACAAGCAGACAGGCAGGGAGGGAGGAGCAAAGGGTGATGACGTTGGAGTCGTGTGTCTCCAACTTCTCCTTGGGCGGCACCATGCACCCCTCCAGCTCAAACTCCTTCTTCAGCCGCTCCTCCTCTGCTGCCTGCGTTAGTGGGGAGGGAGGGACAGAGCGAGGGAAGCACAGGGTGATATATTACATAGGTGTCGTGTGTCTCTGGATTATCTTTTCTCCTTGGGCGGCACCACCCGCCCCTCCACCTCAAACTCCTTCCTCAGCCGCTCCTCCTCTGCTGCCTGCAGGGCGTTCACATGGTAGCGGGAGCGAGGGAGGGAGGGGGAGGCGCGCATGGAGACCGCGGGAGAAACCAGTGGAAGGAAGGGCATCTGCTTGGGTAACTATGATGAAGACATGTGAACCTGGCGTGCTGCTGTGAATGGAATGGAGCATGCAAGAAGAATGAAGGCACGGACAGAAAGGAGGAGCCACATTGCAGTGGATACAGACAGCGGGTATGGGGTTATTTACAGGGGTATACTTACAGCGTCTGCTGCGTCCTTGGCTGCTCGGAATCGTCTGGAGCGCTGCTGGTTCATCTTGGCACGCGGGGCAACACCGTCTGCAGGAAGAACGCCGGGAGAGGAAATGAAGGAATCAGCACAGAGCACAGCAGGGAGTGACTTTTGAGTCGACTCGGACATTGGCTTGTGGGCAACAACACCGTCTGCAGGAAGAATGGCGGGAAAGGAAATGAAGGAATCAGCACAGCACAGCCGGGGGTGTTCTGCTAGGACAAATCGAGCATTGACTCGCCAGGCAACACCGATTGCAGGAAATAGAGCCGAAAAAGGAACAGCACATGACAGCAGGGGTTTGCTTGGCACGAATAAACAATCAGTAACGGCTAAGCAGTGAGGATGTATGAAGGGAGGAGCACCCACCAATGTCCCTTTGAGATAAAAGATACCCAGCAATAACTTTGGATTCAGTATATATTGACCCTTAGAGTAGCAGGAAACACCCATCAATACCCCCAAATGTAGCAGGCAAAACTCACCAATGCCCATGAAGAGCACTTTGCGAGGGCGGATCATGGCGAAGAGGCGGTCAATGTAGTCAAAGATGTTCTGAAACACCTCGTGCAGGGTCGTGGGGGACGGCTGGAGGCAAGACAGGCGGGGTAAAGAAGGAAAGGGAGGAAATGGGAGGGAAAAGAGCTAGGTCAATCAGGCGGTCAATGTAGTCAAAGATGTTCTAAAACACTTCGTGCAGGGTGGGGGGGGACGGCTGCAGGCAACAAGGGTGTGAATAAAGGATAGACGAAGCGAAGGGGCATTGCGAGGGAATAGAGCCAGCCAGGGCGAAGCGGGAGTCAGTGTGAAGTTAGCCTGCAACTCCTCATGCATGTTCGTGACAGCTGGTTGTACGTGCGACAGGGAGGAGAAAAAAAGGACGGGGAGGGATTGGGAAAGAACCGGGCTATGTAGCCGACGGTGGTCTGAAGCACCTCGCCCAGGTTCGTGGGCGAGGGATGCAAGCACCAAGGGTGTGGAGAAAGGATAGATGAGCAGCTTGTTTGGCGCGTACAGTTAGGCCGTGATGTTACGGAAGGGTGAGCCCTTTAACTATATCTATGCTCATGCATTGGTGATATTAAAAGATGCGTCAACAGACAGTGCGACACATGCATTACAAACTCGATGATACCTAAAATGGTAACTCCCTGCTGTGTGCGCAAAATCACCGGACAGAAAAAGCGCCACACACTTTAACAACAACGACGTACTAATGTGCAGATTGGCAACGTCGGTGTTAGGCTAACCAAGCGATGCGCTTCTCCTCTACCGTCTTCACTATTTAATTGCTACATTATACTCTCACAGTCGTCGGGGTGGATGCTCGCGACAGAGGTGCGCACGTCCAATTCGCAGTATTATAACTCGCAGTTAGGGTAGCTCGCTGTTAGAGTAACTTCCCGCAGGGAGACTCGCAGTTCGGGTACCTCGCCGTTAGGCCAACTCGACGATTAAAAACACTTCAACTCCCTAACCAGATTTCCCTCGACCATGTTTACTCTAAAAAAATCTCCACGGAATTACACGATCTTCGGGGTGCAAGCACGGTTGAGTGCTGTCGTTTATGGCCAATTACAGATCGTCAGATTCGCCGTTAGAAAGACCCGTGGTTCGCCGTTCAGAATTCCCCTCGACCGCAATCACTCTCGAGGCGTCTCGACGAACTTACACGATCTTCAGAATGAAATCACGGGTAAGTATGTCGTAAATGTCAAGATAAGGGTTATCGAACTCGCGGTTCGCCGTTCAAACTTCTCCTCAACCGTGTTCGCTCTTACAGCGTCTGGAACACTTGAACGATCTTCGGGCGGAAGCACGGCGTTCATGCCAAGATCCAGACTGTCAAACTCGCTGTTCAGAAATTCGCGGCTCGCCGTTCAATTCTCGTCGACCGTTCTTACTATCAAGGCGTCTCAAATGTACGCGATCTTCGGGGTGGAAGAACGGGTGGATGGTGCCGTTCATGTCGAGGTACAGATTGTCGAACTCGCCGCAAAGAGACTCTCGACTCGCCGTTCCGAAATACACTCAAACGCGTAAACGCTTACAGCGTCTAGACGGACTTACGCGATCTTCGGGGTGGAAGCACGGGTGAATGATGCCGTTCATGTCGAGGTATAGATTGTCAAACTCGCCGTTAGGGTTCGATTCCACCGTGTTCACCGGCACCGTCACGCCGTCGATCACCTGCGGCTCCTCTTCAATCACATCCACTATAATCAACGGGTACTTGTCCGCCAGCCAGCGGTAGAACGCTGGAACACCCATCGCGTGCGAGTCGCCGAGTGTAACCCCGCTGCACCCGCCTCAGTGATTCGTCGAGGTTGCTAAGTAGCGCGGAACGAATCGGCACGACAAGCAGAGGCTTCAATTCAAAGCCTATTCTAGGTCTACGTATCTAACTACCAGCTCGCGGCTGGAGTGGAGAACGCGGCTGGTGCCGCACGACTGGAGAAAACTGGATCGAAGTTGGAAAATAATTGAAAATAGGAGTTTCGTCAGGAGTTGGAAGGAGGTGAACGGGCCCTCAGCGAGGAACGGAGGGTGTGGATTGTGCGAGCGACAAAGCCAGGGTTTGGTGGGGGAAAGTAGGGAGGTGAACGGGTGTGAGGAGAATTGGACGGCCAGATATTTCAAAAGGCGATCCGACAAGTTTTGGCCGACGGATAAGAAAAGCCCATCAGATCTGGACTAGTTGTGCCGAACTAAACCGTTGGATTTCCATCCGCACCATTCTACTTTCTCTTGTTTGTTGCTTTTGCCTCACTCCATCCACCTCAGGCCGAAACCAAACCCAAGGGCAAGGCTTCACGTCACCCAACAGCTGACCATGTCAGAAATTGGTGACCGACAAACAAGGTTGCGCTACAGAAGAATCAGCAGCAGGATATAGGTGGTGTACATGCACAGTAGGACGAGGCCCCTCTTATCAAGTTACCGTATGTCAATTTTTGGCCAATTCTGCATAATGTATGTTCTTGACGGTGGAGGGGAAACTTCGCGACAACCCGATTAAATGGTCGCGGTTGGTGCGGCGGCGGCAGGAGTGGAGGCTGGAAGGGGCAGCAATGACAGGTGCTCAGCAGCGAAAGGTGCACCGACAGAAGGTGCAGCGGCGGAAGGTGCGTCGCAACAGGTGCGGCGGCGGCAAGTGCAATGGCAGCAGATGTAGCGGCGGTAGCTGCTTAGCGGCGGGAGATGAGGAGGGATGAGAGATTGTGTGTGTAAGGAGGGGTGATGAGGAGGGGGGAGAGTGTGAGTGTGAGGAAGAAAAAGGGGGTGCGAGCCCGTCGTCCATTACGGACACCACCCCCGTGGCCTCCCCCCTACAACAGCAATTGCCGATCTGTCAAAATCCCAGCCACTAACCACTGGGATAAAAGAGCTTGTTTGTTATGCGCCCATATCCCCCCAGGCCAACGTGCTTGTAACATTTCCTTACGATCAATCGGGGATCTCAAGTGCACCTTTCACACCCCTCTCACTGGGATGCCCTAGGCACACACTGGGATTCCGACCCGAGACCTTAGCTCTAATACCATGTCAAAATCCCAGCCACTTATCACAGGGACTAAAGGGCTTGTTTGTGTAGTGGGTGAGTGCGCCCATAACCCCCCAGGCCAACGTGCATGTAACCATTCTTTAGGATCAATCGGGGATCTGCAGTGCACCTCTGACACCATCTAGCATGTGACAAGTAAGGCAAGTGCTAAGGCAGCTGGTTGGGCGGCGGATGGCGCTACACATTCACGGCCGCCACCCCCGCAACCTTCCTCCTATAGCGGCAGCCGTTGCATGGCGCAGGTTGGAAACGTGGCGGGCGAGGCAGATGCGGCAGTCACGCAGGTCGACCTTGCGGTTGCACAGCTCGCTTGGAGCTGCCAGCAAGAAGCGTGTCTTAGCAGCAGGCTCTAGGTTCATGCTAGCTCGATACCATGTCAAGATAGTGTTTAAGAGAGTGGCAATCTAGAGAGTTGTCAGAGCAGGAAGGAAGAGTTCGATGAAAACTTGGAGGAAAGAAATGCCGGCAAGGGCAAGATGTAAACAAAGATGCACCACTAGTAGTTGTAATGGATAACTACATTAGCCTATGTTTTATGTAGTTTATATGTTCTCCATTCAATCACTATTCCCGCCCCCTCCCCCCTTAAAAATAATCATGGGAGGACAATCTTCAGTGACAACTATTCTATGCATGGAGCTTTGGCTGGGAAATAATCATGCTAAGGGCGTGTAAAATGTAACGACCAAACCAATTTTCCGACCATTTGCGCGTTTGCGGCGAATGCAAAAAGTGTATCGCGTAAGTGAACTCTGCCACAAAATTCGTCAGCATTAGGACGCGTCACAATTGCAACACCAGGGTAGATTGGCTCCAAACACCGAGAATGTGAACATCGACCTGCAAAAAACGCGTTTAAATCTGCAGGAGCAGTGTTGACTGCTTCCCCGAGCCAAGTGGGACACGACCGGGTTTGCAAGTTGGGGATTTTCATGCCAACTGTACAACCGGCTGCTAGCGCAGGAGCCGTGCTTTACTAGCATGTCACACAAATTCGCATAGCTTGTGACGAGAGAAAAGTAGCAAGCTACTTGCTCAATTGATGGCGACAACGAAGGGTGCTCTTGCCAATTTGTACAAAAAATGCCAACGTGTGCATCGAGGCGCATGATGTTTTTTTATGGGTTCAATTTCACGTTCGATTCTGCGTCGCGCTGACACAGCGCAGATGTCGCCCACCGACATTTTGTGATGTCGCCCAGTTACCACATCGAAAATGGCCGACAGTATATGACGACAATCGATTGCGGCTGGAACTGGTGGCGCGATTTCAATTCTCTCGCTGTTAATCGCACGATCGATATGGCAGTTTGAGCTATCCGATCTCGACAATCTGCGGGTGCACGATAGTCACAACTGGATAAACGAAAGTGAGATACAAAGCTTTCATGAAATGGCGAAGACACTGTAGATTGTGCTCACCAATATTTCACAGGATTGGCGTTGCAATTGTGACGCGTCCTTAGGGGCACCCACCCTAAACTGTCAAACATTGCATGTTTATATTGTCTAGGCTGTAGTGGGTTACACCTTAGGGGGTACACAAAGTTAGGGTTTCCTACTTGTACCAAACTCTGTTCTAGTTCATTCATTCCTGCTCAGTTATTTCTGACATGGTTTCAGAGCAGGTCCTTCGCTAGGACTGTTCTTAGGGCCCACCGACTTACCTACCTGCTTACCTTCGCTTGTTTCCGGCCCCGCTGGCCCCGTCGATCTAGCACGATCTAGCGGCCCTGCGGCCCCGTCGAAATTTTTTTTTTTTTTTTTTCCTAGCGGCCTCTCACGGCCCCCGTCGCGTCGCCCCTTAGCGCCCCGATCGGCCCCGTCACGCCGCCCGCGAACCGCACAGCGCGCCGCGCTCACAGCCCGCGAACCGCCCGCGCACAGCCCGCGACCAGCCCGCGCAGCCCGCGCACAGCCCGCGAACTGCCCGCGAGCAGCCCGCGACCTGCCCGCGAACCCCCGCGAGCCGCCCGCGACCCGCTTACGCAGCCCGCGAGCAGCCCGCACAGCCCGCGCTGAGCCTGCGCGGCTCGTGCGCTGACCGCCGCCGGCCCGCACGCTGCCCGCACTGCTCCCGGCCCGCCGCTGCTGAGCCCGCAGCCGCCCGCGCACCGCCGCTGCTGAACCCGCCGCCGCCCGCGCACCGCCGCTGCTGAGCCCGCCGCCGCCCGCGCACCGCCGCTGCTGCGCCCGCTGCCGCCCGCGTATCACCGCTGCTGAGCCCGCCCCTGCTGCGCCGGCTCTCGCTGCCGCCTGCTGCGCCTGTGCACCACTGCAGATCCTACTACTACACTTCCTGCTACTGCTGCTTGTGCGCCACTACAGTCCGTAGGCCCCACCGGCCCTGCTGACCCTGCGCACGCCTGTTCAGTGACTTTACTGCTTCTACTACTGCCGCTGTCGCTATGGCTAGTCCTCCTGTTCTAGCTTTCGACGCCGAGGGCCGTCCGGTCAAATTCGAAACCTGGCTAGATGACCTGCACCTTTTCCTACAGCTCACTGCCAAGGAAGATATTACACTGTACGACCACGCTCTCGGCCATGCGACCGCCCCACTCGCTACTGCCCCCCCAGCTGAGCGCTCACAGTGGCAGACCCGTGACGCGCACGCTCGCTTTGCTATTCGCAACTCCCTGCCGCTAGATGAGCGCGAGCACTTCGGCCAGTGCAAGACTGCTAAGGACCTCTACACAGCTGTAGTGGCCCGCTACTCCTCACCCGCTTCTGCCACACTAGGCCGCCTCACTCTCCCCTACCTGTTCCCCGACCTAGCCTCTTTTCACACTGTCGCAGACCTCATCACCCACCTTAAGACTAGTGAGGCTCGCTTTCGCGCTGCCATGCCTGATGAGTTCCTCGCTAGCAACCCCCCCCCGCTCTGGATCACTCTCTACCACGTTGTCACCCGCCTCCCTGACTCTCTGCGCCCTGTCAGGGACCAGTTCCTCTCTCGCTCCCCCACTGAGCTCACCATAGCCCTCCTCGAGAAGGAACTGCTTGCAGCCGAGGCTAGTATCGTCGCTGTAGGCACCTCTCGTGGCGACCCCCGCGGCCCCTTCTTCGAGGGGTGCTCCCCTTCCCCCCTCCTCCCCTCTGTCGCCTCTGCTGCTGCTGTCGACCTCCTTGGTGCTGAGAAGGTCGGGGCTGCGTCTGCTTCAGGCGGACGACGCAGGGGCAGGAGTGGCAGGAGTGGGGGTGGTGGCGGAGGAGGCGGGGGTGGAGGTGGTGGCGGTGGAGGTGCGACTGGAGAGGCTAGTGGCGGCGGTGGTGGAGGTGACAGCGGAGGCGGAGGTGGTCGTGGCAGCGGCAGGGGTGGAGGTGGCCGGGGCGGAGGCGGAGGGGGTGGTGGTCGTGGAGGCCCGGGGGGCGGTCAGAGTCAGCAGCCTGCCCCGACCCTTCAGGCCGCCCGTGAGTGGTATGCGCGGCGCAGCGTCACCTGCCAGTACGTTATTCGTACAGGTGACCGCACTGGCCAGACGTGTGGGGGGCCGCACCAGACGGAGCGCTGCTTCGCCCGCCTCAACGATGCGTGGCGCACTCAGTTTCCTGGTGGGGGTGAGCTGCCGCGCTGGGCTGATCTGCTCAGGAAGGGTGTTGATATTTGGGCACTTGACTTTGATGCTATTCTCACTGCCATGTATGCGATGTCTATTAGTGGAGAGGGTGCTCAGTACTTGCGTGTTCCGCCCGACCCGGGCATTCAGGCCAGCCCCGCTGCTGCTCTAGGTGCTAGTGTGTCTGCTTCCACAGGTACTTCTGCAGCTGCTGCTCTAGGTGCTTGTGCGTCTGTGCCCCCTGGTACTGAGTCGACTGCAGCACTGCACACCTTCACACTGGACTCAGGTGCTTCTCGCTCTTTCTTTCGTGACCGCACTGTCCTTGAGCCTCTAGCTCGGCCGGTTGCTGTCTCTCTTGCTGACCCCTCTGGGGGTCCGGTCCTTGCGACCTCCTCCACCACCCTTCCGTGTCCAGCGGTTCCGTCCGGCACGCTCTCAGGTCTCTACCTCCCCTCGTTCTCCACGAACTTGGTGGCAGGTAGTGCGCTCCAGGACTCGGGTGTTCACCAGTTCACCCCTGCCTACGAGCGTGTGACTCACTGCACGTGTGCTCGGACGGGCCGCCACCTAGCTACTTTCACTCGAGAGCCGGGGTCTGACCTGTACACACTGACCACTGAGTCCCCTCAGGTAGCTGCGTCTGCGTCAGCGTCAGGTCAGCTGTCCGCCCCCTGCTCGTGTCGCTCTCTGGCGAACGACACCGTCCTCTGGCACCACCGCCTTGGTCACCCGTCTGTGCAGCGCCTGCGGGCCATGCACAAACGGGACCTTGTTGCTGGTCTTCCCAGGGTGCTCCCTCCCCTTCCTGACTCCCCTGCTCCTGACTGCATTCCCTGTGTCGAGGGGCGGCAGCGCGCCGCTCCTCACTCCTCCTCCTTTCCCCCGACGACCGCTCCCCTGCAGACGCTCCACATGGACGTGTGGGGCCCGGCCCGCGTCCGTGGTCAGGGTCAGGAGAGGTACTTCCTGATAGTTGTTGACGACTACTCGCGCTACACCACGGTCTTCCCCTTGCGCGCCAAGGGTGACGTCCCTGGTGTTTTGATCCCCTGGATCAGCCGAGCCCGTCTCCAGCTAGGCGAGCGCTTTCACTCGGACTTTCCTGTCCTGCGCTTGCACTCTGACAGGGGTGGTGAGTTCGCCTCCGACCTCTTGGCAGCCTACTGTGCTGAGCACGGCATTGAGCAGTCGTACACGCTTCCGGCCTCTCCACAGCAGAATGGGGTTGCTGAGCGCCGCATTGGCTTAGTCATGGAGGTCGCTCGTACCTCCCTGACCCATGCGGCTGCTCCCCACTTTCTGTGGCCGTTTGCGGTCCGGTACGCAGCGCATCAGCTCAACCTCTGGCCCCGTGTCTCCTTGCCGGAGACTTCCCCGACTCTACGGTGGACGGGAGAGGTTGGCGATGCGTCGCGTTTCCGGGTCTGGGGATCTCGAGCCTTTGTCCGCGACACGTCCGCGGACAAGCTCTCGCGTCGCACTGTTCCCTGTGTCTTTCTTGGCTTTGTTCCCGACGCGCCTGGATGGCAGTTTTACCACGTCACCTCGCGCCGGGTTCTGGCCTCTCAGGACGTCACTTTTGACGAGTCCGTCCCCTTCTACCGCCTCTTCCCCTACCGCACTGCCCCGCTCCCCCCCCGCCTCTCTTCCTCGCTCCAGGTGCTGAGGTACCAGACCCCCTCCCCCCTCAGGGTGCCGCTCCCTCAGGTGTGTCCCAGGTAGACCCGGGTGAGCCTGTCGAGGTAGCTGTTGACTCGCGTCCTGCGTCTGGGGGTGCTGAGCCTGGGAGTGCTGCGTCTGAGGGTGCGGAGCCTGGGGGTGCTGAGCCTGGAGGTGCGGAGCCTGGAGGTGCGGAGCCTGGAGGTGCGGAGCCTGGAGGTACTGAGCCTGGGGGTGCTGAGCCTGGACGTGCTGAGACTGGGGGTGCTGAGTCTGGGGGTGCTGAGTCTAGGGGTGCTGAGCCTGAGCGTGCTCCACCTGGAGGAGCCCTCTCCTCCCAGCAGCTGCAGGAGAGGTACCTCGAGTACTGCCGCCTCCGGAGAGGTGCTTCTGGAGCTCGTCCCGGTACTTCCCCTCCTACCCAGGAGCTCCCCCCCATTCAGGTGATCCGCGAGTGGTACACGCGGCGCTGCAGTCTTCGGAGTGGTGCTCCTGGTGCTGCGGACCCGAGCGGTGGTGCTGTTGCTGGTGCTGAGGACCCGGACGCTGGAGCTGCTGCTGGTGCTGAGGACCCGGGGGCTGGAGCTGCTGCTGGTGCTGAGGACCCGGGCGTTGGAGCTGCTGCTGGTGCTGAGGACCCGACCGGTGGTGCTGCTGCTGGTGCTGCGGACCCGGGCGTTGGAGCTGCTACTGGTGCTGAGGACCCGGACGTTGGGGCTGCCACTGGTGTCCCTGCTGCTTCTGGAGACGCTGCGCGGCCGCGACCGTACTTCGTACCGCTCCTTCAGCAGGTTCTTGGTCAGGCTCCTCCTCCTTGTCCTCCTCCCTCCGTCGAGTGTCCTCTGCCTGTCCAGCCGCAGTCACAGTTACCGCCTGTCTCGCCTCTCCCTGCTCCCTCCCCTTACGCTGGTCCCACAGGAGGTCTTACAGAGCGTCGTGAGCCTGAGTCTCGTCCTGCGTCGCCTGTTCGTACTGCTCGCACTGGTCGTCGTGTCCCACGTGAGCGTCCTCCTCCTGTCCCTGGCACTCACTACATGACTCTGCGTCCCTCCACTGCTCCGCAGCGTGTCCCGCTGCCGTCTCCTCCTGCGTCCTCTCTTCCTACTCTTCCTGACCCGGAGTCTGACTCCCGTCGTGCTGCCAGTCCCACTGTTACGCGTCTCCTCGCTACAGTTGTCACTGACCCGACCTTTGAGTCCTCTGCTGCGTCTGCCCTGGTCGCTGAGTTGGTTGACTTTGCTGCTCGCTGTCGCCTAGACTACGCTGCCAGCCTTGTCGCTAGGTCTGAGTCTGCGTCTGCCTGTCCTCCGTCCGTCGGGGGTGAGTGTGCCCTCGGCACGGACGTCCTTGAGGACAGACAGGAGGAGTTCCACTGCCTTGCTGCTGCTTTGCCCCGTCTCGTGTCCTTGCTAGTTGCCCCTGAGGGAGACCCGGATGCACCAGACATCCCGACCCCACGCTCTTACGCTGAGGCGATGGCGGGTCCCTACTCCTCTCAGTGGCAGACAGCCATGGACGCAGAGATGGCCTCCTGGAAGTCCACAGGCACCTACGTAGACGAGGTTCCCCCTCCTGGGGCGAACATCGTCAGTGGCATGTGGATTTTCAGGGTGAAGCGGCCTCCGGGTTCTCCACCTGTCTTCAAGGCGCGCTACGTGGCTCGAGGCTTCAGTCAGCGAGAGGGAGTAGACTTCTTTCAGACCTTCTCCCCCACCCCGAAGATGACTACTCTTCGGGTGCTGCTGCACATAGCCGCTCACCGCGACTACGAGCTTCACTCTCTTGACTTCAGCACTGCTTTCTTGCAGGGCAGCCTGCACGAGGAGATCTGGCTGCGCCGCCCCCCTGGCTTCACTGGGTCATTTCCTCCTGGCACCCAGTGGAGGCTTCAGCGGCCGGTCTACGGTCTCCGCCAGGCGCCACGTGAGTGGCACGACACACTGAGGACGACACTTGCGGCTCTTGGGTTCGCTCCCTCTACTGCTGACCCGTCGCTGTTTCTACGCACCGACACCTCGCTGCCGCCGTTCTACATCCTCGTGTACGTCGACGACTTGGTCTTTGCCACTGCTGACACCGCGGCACTCGCTCACGTGAAGTCGGAACTGCAGAGGAGACACACGTGCACAGACCTGGGTGAGCTGACGAGCTATCTTGGCTTGCGGATCACCCGGGACAGAGCACGGCGCACCATCACCCTGACTCAGTCACACATGGTGCAGCAGGTTCTCCAGCGCTTCCGCTTCACGTACTCCTCGCCTCAGTCCACTCCTCTGCCTACCGGTCACTCGCTCTCAGCTCTGCCTTCGGATGAGTCCGTAGAGCCGAGTGGCCCGTATCCAGAGCTTGTGGGCTGCCTCATGTACCTGATGACCTGCACTCGACCTGACCTTGCATACCCTCTTAGCATCCTAGCACGCTATGTCGCTCCTGGCCGTCACCGGAAGGAGCACATGGATGCTGCTAAGAGGGTGTTGCGCTACTTGTGCAGTACGTCGGGCATGGGGCTTGTGCTTGGAGGGCGAGACCGGGTTGTTCTCACAGGGCACTCAGACGCTTCTTGGGCAGACGACCAGGCTACTCAGCGGTCGTCCCAGGGTTACACCTTCAGCCTTGGCTCTGGCTCAGTTTCTTGGCGTTCTACTCGCTCTTCTTCTGTTCTCAGCTCCAGTTGTGAGGCTGAGATCTACGCCACAGCCATGGCTGCTCAGGAGCTACGCTGGCTGACCTACCTGCTGACCGACCTCGGAGAGCGGCCTCGTTCTCCTCCAGTGCTGTACGTCGACAACAAGGCTGCCATTGCCTTGTGTGAGGAGCACAGACTGGAGCACAGAACGAAGCACATCGCTCTGCGGTACTTCCTTGCTCGAGAGCTGCAGCAGCGTGGTCAGCTGTGTCTGCGTTACGTGGCCACGGAGGCCAACACTGCTGATGTGTTCACCAAGGCGCTTCAGCCTTGTGACCATCAGCGCTTTTGCACTCTACTAGGCCTTGTACCTACTGGGCCTCACTTGCTTACCTCTTGACCTTACTTGTACTGTGATCACTATATATATATGCCTTCTTGCTTACTTTTGCTAGGTTGTGATCACTGTATCTCTTACTTTGTTATAAACCTGCATGTGAACTGGTCTTGTGACCGCTTGCTTGTGCTCGGAATTTGTGTGGAATCCTTGAGATCCACCCTGAGCTTGCTTTGCTTTGCTTTGACTGGTCTTGTGACCCTGTGGTTGTTTCCCACTGCGCCTATGGGGGTGTGTCAAACATTGCATGTTTATATTGTCTAGGCTGTAGTGGGTTACACCTTAGGGGGTACACAAAGTTAGGGTTTCCTACTTGTACCAAACTCTGTTCTAGTTCATTCATTCCTGCTCAGTTATTTCTGACATAAACCACCCTTTAAATTGAAACGAAAGTTTTGATTCCTTTTGCTGCATTCGAACTGGTTATGGAACGTAGCGGGATCGGAAGCCTAGACCAGGGTGTTCAACAAAGCAGTGTGTTGAGGCAAGCACTGTTTTTTTTTTTTTTTTTCTCCCCACTGAAGATGAGTATAGGTAGGTCCAAAAATGCAGTGCGTACATTTCTATGGGGAAAATACCGTGCAACTCGGTCAAATATGGGCGAGTACTCGAAAAGGCGTAACCCTAAATACATCGCAATCGCTAGAATCGTCCCAATAGTCGAAAAACTGGTTTCATCATTACAAGTTCACATGCCCTAAACACGCACATATTTCAATTTTTCGATGGGGGGAAAAAAATTACCGTCCTCGGCGACGGACACTTGCGAAGAGCAACATGGGTACCATTACGAGTCTCCAAATATTTACACTATCTTCTTGTTACGAATGGAGCACCTTGGCTGCCGCTCGTTCAAAACGAATCTCGCTACAGCACCACAAGTGTCTCAATAAGCCCAATCAACCGAGAGAGTCAGTGCAGTCAAGCCAACTCCTACAGCAATGGATAGACGTGAAGATGACACCAGGGAAAAAGACAACTTCTGCATCAAACACTGAAGCAATATAAGCAAACAAATTGTCATGCTCAAAACATCAAACAATGCATGCGTATGTATTAGGGAAGGAGGGGCAAGGGCTATTGTGCACGTACGTGCATGCGCGTATGTGGGTTCATGTATATGTGTGTGTATACATGTTTGTGTGTCTATGTGTGTGTGTATGTTTGTGTTTGTGTGTTTGTGTATGTGTGTGTGTGTGTGTGCATGCTTTTGTGCGTGCATGTGTATGTGCATGCAGGTGCGTGTATATCTCTGTCTGTGAGAGCAAATATATGTATGCATGTATATGTATGTGTGTGTATGTGTATATATTTGTGCATATGTACGTGTATGTTTGTAAGTGTTTCCATACATGCGTGTGTTTGTGTTTGTGTGCATGTGTATGTGTAGGTGTGTATGTGTCTGCATGTGTGTGTACGTGAGAGTGTGTGCATCCGTGCGATTATGTTTAATATGCGCGTGCATTTGTGCATGTGCATGCGTGCGTATGTGTATGTGTGTGTGTGTGTGTGTATGTGTGTGTGTATGTGTGTGTGTGTGTGTGTGCGTGTGTGTGTCTCTGTATGTGTGCATGCGTGCGCACAACAAATAAATGTTTGTTGAACTTAGTTGCATCATTATTGTTTGGGCTTCCATGTCAAGGATTTTTTTTTTTTGCGCTTCTTACGTGCTCAATTCATGTATGTGAGAGGATTGTCAACATCCTAGCCACTAGGCCACTTGGATAAATGGGCTTGTTGAGTAGCGGGTCAGTGCACCCATAATCCCCAAGCGAACGCGCATGTAACTTTTCACTAGGATCAATCGGGGATCCCCAGTGACACCCCACACACTATTGTTAGAATTCTATGTACTTATGGAAATGTATGAATAATTAGAAGTGTAGTATCACTGTAGTATTGTCAATGTTGGTGGTGTACCCCCTTCCCACCTCCTTGAACTATATCATGTACCTTGTACATTTGTGAAAGCCCCTCCCTTCTCTCTCGTAACCCTCGCCACTCATGTTCTTACTCTAGCCATGGCTCCTAAGGCCTAGCCTATAATGACTTGTAATTAGAGCTGGTTCTCCTAAGAACCTAGTTATTTTTCTTTCGCCATGGCTGCCCTCATTGCCATGGCGCCCGTTGCAGCACCCTTCAAGGCGCTCGCTCGTTGCCCGCCCCGATTCGACGCCCCAAATGTCTCTCATTTCGCGCCCCGAAGGCCCCTTGAATCGCACCCAGAGCATCACTCGATTCGTGCCATGTGCCAGCGCATAAGCACCGCGAACAGCAGCGCGCGCCCCGCGCCACCGGCGCAGCAGCCCTCGGCCCACGCCACTAGCGCTCGATCGGCGCAGCAGCACACGACCCACGCCACAAGGGCTAGATCAGGCACAGCAGCACGCGCCCCACGCCACCAGTGTGCGACCAGGCACGGCAGCACGCGCCGCCTCCCCTCCCTAGCGTGGCTTCCGCCGCGCGGGGGGGGGGGGGGGGGGGGGGGGGTATAGGGGTGGCAGGTGTGACCAGCTAGCAGCATGTCCCTCCCCTCTCTCTTCCTCTCTCCCTGCAGCACGTGTTGCTGTGGGGGGGTGGGGGGCAGAGAGGTTGAGGGGGGATGAGAGTTTTTTCTTCTTCTTCTTCTTCTTCTACTCTTTTTTTCTCTCTCATTCATCCTGTACCTTTCGCTGCACCTGTTCCCTCTTCTTTTTCCTCCTCCGCGCATCACATATCAACGGGAGTAGTGTTTGGCCCCGTCCTCGCTTGGGCGGAGCCGACCTCGTGCTCGAGTGTGCGGGGGGATGCAGCCGACCTGCAGCAGTGGGTACGGGGGCCACTGCAAGGGCGTTGAGCTGGGGGGCGCCTGGCTGGAGGGCGCCGAGCAGGTGGACGCCGTCCTTGGCGTTTGGGTGGCGTCCTGGCCGTCTGCACGGCGTCCTGGGTTCGTGGATGCCGACTTGGGCGTCTGCTCGGCGTCCTGGGAGGCTGGACGCCGACCTGGGCGTCTGCTCGGCGTCCCGGGCGCCTGGACGCCGACTTGGGCGCCTGGAAGGCGTCATGGGCGAGTGGACGCCGACCTGGACGCCAGGACGCCGACCCTGGGACGCCGGGTTTGGTGTAGCCGGCGACCGACTGGGCTGGACGACCAGGCGGGGTTGCCCAGTCGTCGGGGATACCCGGGCGACGCTTGCGAAAGTCGCCGGGATGGTTTCTGCGAAGGTGACCTCGGGGGTGGTATCCCGAGGTCGACGTGGCTGGTGGGCACGGTTGCTGGCGTGGAGTCGGCTAGGCGTCTGCGCTGTGCTCGTGACAGGTGTGGAGCACCAACCAGCTGCACGCACCTGCGAAGCAGGTGCACCGTTGTCCTGCGGGTGCAACGCTGTGCAGCCGACTTGCTGCAGCGTTGGCACACCACGGACTTGCAACGTTGGCAAGCCGCGTCCCTGCAGCGCTGGAGCGACGCGAGCAGCGCTGCGCTGGAGGGCGGTCGACCGTGCTGCGCTGGAGGTCGACCAACTTGCTAGTTTGCAGGGATGTAGTCATGCATGCCAATGTTGTTGCTATCATTCTGAACCATTGTTGTGAAGTTTTGCTAGTGGAACTCTTGCCAATTTTCCCCGTGAATGTGCACATAGAGTGAACACAAGCAAACGACTAAGGAACGAACGCAGAGATCACTCCTACCCCGTGCCTAGCCCGTAGTCTAGCTCCCGTTGACAGAGTTATCTCCGCATCACCTACTCCTGATACCACTCGTTTCATCTCATTCCGTCGTTTCTAGTGGTTGAAGGAATACTATGGAGAGCACTACGACGGCGAGAGAGATTCTGCTTATGGGAATGATGTTGCGCTAGGAATTCGGTAGCGTTGGTCTCAAAAGACTAAGTGAGAATTTGAGTAGAGATTGAGCTTCACTAGGAAACTAGAATATATGAAACACACAAGCAAACACAAACATATAAAGGCAAGCAAGCGTTCACAAAAGGTAGCGAGGGCGCTGCGAGTAACCCAACCCACACGAAAGTGCTGTGGGAGTTGGCGAACGCGCCCCGCCAAACTTCCATCCAACTCAGCAGCGAAAACCTTCCGAGCACGCAACTCCATCCGACTCAGCTTGGGAGTGGCGTGCCTCATAAGGAAGCACACAAAGACTCCCACGACTCTACTTCCCAGCACCGACTTCAGCAGATTCCTTACTGCAGCTCGCATTCACCCGTAGTCACACTTGACTGCCATCGAACCTGTGCGACGGTGCCGAGTAGACCAGGTCGTCGGTCGTCAACCTGCCAAGTCTAACATTTCGCGAGGGCCCTTGCTGTCGTAGGGCCCTCTAACACTCCCCTGCCATACTACAGCAAGGCCCTTTATAATCACAGGGCATGCATAAACACATACACACCAAACAAAGGGAAACACACACAAACGAAGCACTCTCAAAGTGCAAACACGCACCGCACCAGCCATGGATAGGCCATGGCACCATCCACATCACGGAGTGTCTAGGTCTCACTCCCCTCGCTCGAGAGCCTCACCTGCCCCACAGCCTCGAAGCAACGACTGAAGGCGGGGAAATGCAATGCCTTGGTAAGGTAGTCAGCAGGCTGCTCGCTCGTAGGGATGTACTGCAGCTGCAGCTTCCTGCGCTTGACCATGTGCTGCAGCCACATGTGACGACGCTCCATGTGCTTGAGGCTCCCCTTGAGCCCCATGCCACCTGCCACTGAAATGGCGGAGGAGTTGTCCACAAAGAGAGTAGTGGGAACCTCACTCCTCAGCAGTTGAAACTCTGCCAGCAGGAAGCGCAGCCGACGCGCCTCCTTCCCCGCCTCCACAGCAGCAACGTACTCAGACTCAGTGGAAGAGAGGGTGGCGCAACGAATCCTCTGGCTCGCCCACGAGACAGCAGCACCTCCGAGCACGAAGACATAGCCACCAGTGCTAGTCCTGTTCTGCTTGTCTCCCGCATCATCCGCATCGGCATAGCCCACCAGCTCCAAGGACTCAGGCCCACCACCAAA